GACCAAATGTCATGACTAGACCAAATGTCATGACTAGACCAAATGTCATGACTAGACCGAATGTCATGACTAAACCAAATGTCATGACTAAAGCAAATGTCATGACTCGACCAAATATCATGACTAAACCAAATGTCATGACTAGACCAAATGTCATGATTAGACCAAATGTCATGACTAGACTAAATGTCATGACTAGACCAAATGTCATGACTAGACCAAATGTCATGACTAGACCAAATGTCATGACTAGACCGAATGTCATGACTAAACCAAATGTCATGACTAAAGCAAATGTCATGACTCGACCAAATATCATGACTAAACCAAATGTCATGACTAGACCAAATGTCATGACTAAACCAAATGTCATGACTAGACCAAATGTCATGACTAAACCAAATGTCATGACTAGACCAAATGTCATGACTAGACAAAATGTAATGACTAGATCAAATGTCAAGTTTGTCCCGCCCTGCAAGTTATCGAATTTATTTAAGCACATTAAAAATGTCAAGTTTAAACTTGGTCCGTCTCATACGATTTGCGCTAACTTTAAACGCCGTTATTGAGATGGCTTTATTGAATTTCTCTGAACTTTATTTGCAAATAACCGGGCATAATTCAAGGTTTTTTTAATAGATAAAGACAGAGAGCGGTTTTTAGTTACAATAAACTTGCATTTTGTATAAAAATATATTAAATTTTAAACACACACTCACGCCCATATATATATATATATATATATATATATATATATATATATATATATATATATATATATATATATATATATATATATATATATATATATATATATATATTAGCGAGTGGTACTTCGAGCAAGGAGTTCAATTCATTCCGTAAAATGGCTCGTATGTCAAATTGACCTCAGTCTTTACCAGCAAATGGTTTCTGAGTGCCATTGAAAGTTCAAACTAGATCAAAACTTTCTAATCACTACTGCACATAAAGTATCTAATCGTACTGAATATATAGATCAACTATTTCTAATCACTACTGCACATAAAGTATTGAATATCTGGAAATATCTGTGAAATATATTCTTTTAGTTGATAGCCAAGAAGAGTTGTCATTTTGTGAAGATATCATGGAGAAAATAAATAAGTTTTTTTAAAAAACTGGATGAGTAAAATGAGAAAACTGCTGTGGGGTTTGTACTGATGGAGCCCGTTTGTGTTTGGGTCAAAATCAGGATTTCAGAAAAAAGTAAACATTTAGCTCCCTAACCAAGGGAAATCCACTGCTTGATTTACAATTATGCCCTCGCCAGCAAAATTCTTCCGACTCTATTGCTAATAAAAGTCGTAAATAATATTAAATCTGGAGCTCTAAACATCTGTCTGTTTAAAGAACTGTGCAAAGACATGAATAAAGATCACATTTCTGATTTTCTACACTACACTATGCTGGCTGTCAAAAGGAAATGTTGTAAATCGTGTTTTTGAATTGAAAGCTGAAATCAAGTTGTTCTCGGAAGACCTTTTGATATACTATAACCCTAACCCTAACCCTAAGGAAACAAGACCTTTTAATATACTTTAACCCTAACCCTAACCCTAAGGAAACAAGACCTTAGGATATACTTTAACCCTAACCCTAACCCTAAGGAAACAAGACCTTATGATATACTATAACCCTAACCCTAACCCTAGGGAAACAAGACCTTATGATATACTTTAACCCTAACCCTAGCCCTAAGGAAACAAGACCTTATGATATACTTTAACCCTAACCCTAACCCTAAGGAAACAAGACCTTTTGATATACTTTAACGACAAATAGTGGTTATAGAGACCAGCACATCTGCAGATATATTCGAACAGCAACAAAACCTCAACCTGAAGCTTCTAGGAAAATAAACGAATATTATCACTTTTCGTGATAATCTCGTAGTATTTTTAGCGCAATTTCCATACTGGACAATTGCGATTATTAACTTGTTATTTCTGGATGGATGTGCGCAGCTTTAAGTCGTATCTCCTCCTCAACGAAGCAATATCGAGGACTAGTTCCAAAAGCAAATATGTTAAGCAAGTTCCGAGGATGATTGTGGGCCAAAAAAATTCCCGGAATTCCTTCCTGGATTTCCCGGAAAAGCCAAAAAACCTCCAAAAAAAAAGTTTTTGGCCCATATCTCGGCAACCAGACCACTTAGCGACTTGAAACATTTACTAATCGATTCCTGCCATAATTTAAAACAATATTGCCGAATAAAGTTTTCAAAAATATCCTTTCGTTCAGTCACAAAAAATAAATGAAGGAAATTGCGCTTAAATTGTCACTAGACTTTTTATTAACTTGTTTTAATCTTGGAAATATTGCCATGTTTAAGAAACTCTGCAGTGTGGTAGATGAATCTGATTGTGAGATAAATAAAAAAAATTGAACGAGGATTCTGGGCATCTTGAAACCCAACTGTGGAGTTATTTGCTTGAAAAGAAAGAAGAAACTGCATTGATACGTAGTCGATTCTCTGCTTCCCTTGATGTTGCCAGCATTCCCAATGAATTACAAGATGAATTCTTAAATTTACGGAATGACTTACATATGACTTACCTATGACTTACATATTCTGCAAAGTACAAAAATAAAATGATAAATATCTTCATAATATTAGGGAAGCCTTTAAAATGTATTAAAGCAATTAAAAAATATTTCGCCTTTTACAGAATGAATGTTTCATAAAAACACATCAAAGAATAACGCAAAGAAATTACTTGGTTTTATAAAACCAAGTCAGCTTGAAAGTCAACCATCTTGAGTGTTGGTGGTATTGGTAAAGTATAGGGTGTCGGTGGTGGTATTGGTGGTGTCGGTGGTGTTGGTGGTGGCGGTGGTGGTGTTGGTGTTGGTGGTGTCGGTGGTGTTGGTGGTGTCGGTGGTGGTGTTGGTGGTGTTGGTGGTGTCGGTGGTGGTGTTGGTGGTGTCGGTGGTGGTGTTGGTGGTGTCGGTGGTGGTGTTGGTGGTGTTGGTGGTGTCGGTGGTGGTGTTGGTGGTGTTGGTGGTGTTGGTGGTGTCGGTGGTGTTGGTAAAGTATAGGGTGTCGGTGGTGGTGTTGGTGGTGACGGTGGTGGTGTCGGTGGTGTTGGTGGTGTTGGTGGTGTTGGTGGTGTTGGTGGTGGTGTTGGTGGTGTTGGTGGTGTTGGTGGTGGTGTTGGTGGTGTCGGTGGTGTTGGTAAAGTATAGGGTGTCGGTGGTGGTGTTGGTGGTGTCGGTGGTGGTGTTGGTGGTGTTGGTGGTGTTGGTGGTGTTGGTGGTGTTGGTAAAGTATAGGGTGTCGGTGGTGTTGGTAAAGTATAGGGTGTCGGTGGTGGTGTTGGTGGTGACGGTGGTGTTGGTGGTGTTAGTAAAGTATATGGTGTCGGGGATAGACTTCACTGTTAATGCTAAACTCTGCGGTCATTTGAATTCACTTCCTCCTTATACTTTAAACGGAACACTTTATCCCTAAATTTACCGTAATTTAAAGTTTTCCAAAGACAATGGCATCTAAATGTTACAATAAAATGTTTCTTACTTTCTTAAAGTTCCAACCTATCCCGTTGAAATAAACCTATCCATTGAACCCTTGCAGAATCTTGAGTTAGAGAATTTGAGTTAGACAAGTCTCCTTGAATAGTACTGTCAGTTGTATCTTTTTTCAAGTGTTTCTTTGGTTACTCGTATCTCAAATTTGGCTGGTATAAATAATACCAGTTCGTATCTAAATAATCATGTATATTGAGGTACAGAGGCGTAGCGAGGGGGGGGGGGACATATGTCCCCGGGCGCCAACTTTAAGGGGCGCCAAAATGGGTTGGAAAAATAATTTGAAAGGTTGAGGGGGGGGGGGGCGGGTGCAAATCGTAAGTTTGAGGAGGGGGGGGGGGGTGCAAATTGAAAGTTTGTCCCCGGGCGCCGGGAAGGGTCGCGGTATAATATATATATATATATATATATATATATATATATATATATATATATATATATATATATATATATATATATATATATATATATATTCATATTTCATACAAGCTTTGTCTAGGTAAGGTTAGCTTTAACATGGTTCGTCTATACAAGACTAGTCTATATTTGATAGGCCTAGAAAACATTCTTCGATACAAAAGTCATATAAACAAGATTCTTCTATACAAGATTCTTCTATACAACATTCTTTTATACAACATTCTTCTATACAACATTCTTCTATACAATATTCTTCTATACAACATTCTTCTATACAACATTCTTCTATACAATATTCTTCTATACAACATTCTTCTATACAATATTCTTCTATACACGATTTTTCTATACAACATTCTTCTATACAACATTCTTCTATACAATATTCTTCTATACAACATTCTTCTATACAATATTCTTCTATACAACATTCTTCTATACAACATTCTTCTATACAATATTCTTCTATACAACATTCTTCTATACAACATTCTTCTATACAACATTCTTCTATACAATATTCTTCTATACACGATTCTTCTATACAACATTCTTCTATACAACATTCTTCTACACAACATTCTTCCATACAAGATTCTTTATATATGGTTCATGTGGATATTTGACGTCTATCTGTAGATTTTGATTCAATATAAGGGTTAGGGTTAGGGTCAGGGTTAGGGTCAGGGTTAGGGTTAGGGTTAGGGTCAGGGTTAGGATTAGGGTCTAGGTATACATGTCGCAGGTTTAAACACAATGTAGTACCGTTTTTGCGTAAACTATTTCTTGCCTAGATATCAATATAAAATGACAAAACATAACCCTAATCCATTGGATTAATTCGGTGAAACGGTTGGTAGGCGCCTCACTACCCGCCCCATTTGTTGAACAAGCAGCACAACTGCCCTTCTGGACTAATATATGGCGCTTGAGTGAAGATGGGCTGCTCCAATAGTAAACTAATCCCGCACAAAGATGGGACATCGCCCTATTCACTGAGGGACAACCAGATTCACAGAACACTTCCACGGTCATCAGTAGGTGACGACAGCAGCCAGTGTCCTATCGACATTAGGCAAGCTTTTAAAATCAAGCAATCTTGGAAGGGAATACGGCGAAATATGGAGGAGGCGGGCATGGAGATGTTTCTAAGGTTAGTTTATGTCAAACATAAAACATTCAATGTGAATACATTTAGGATTTTCAATATGAGTATGTCACATAAGAATATGAATATGCCATATAAAACATTCGACTACAGGACATTACCCCCCCCCCGCCAATTACCCCCCACCCCCCGGAAATTTTACCAACGCATTCACCCCCTTAGCAATTACCTAATTATCCCCTGAATAATTACCCCCCCCCCCAGTTATGATCCTAACTCTAACTCAAACTCTATACCTATTTATTTCCTTAATCCTAACCTTAAAATAATCTGGGAGTGATCTCCCCTAAACTTTCTCGAATATTCTTATATAACACTACGGGAGATGGCACCTCGGGATATAGACATGCTTTTTAATCCATTTTTAATTAGCCTACTTAAACTTTTAAAAATAAAATAGAATAGAATTTCGTAGAAAAAAGAATCGTGCACCAAGTGAACGCCAAACAATATGTGTATAATAGTACAGAATATTACTAGTGCTTTATATATTCACATATATTTGGAGAAATCGGAAATAGTTAAAATTACTTCCTAAACCTAGCTGTAACTGTACTCAAGTTATCGTGTTCACAGACACACCTACACACAAACCCACAGACACACCTACACACAAACCCACAGACACACACATACACACAAACACACGTACGGACGATATTGCAAAAATATGTCTTTCCGACTCAGGGAGGTGTAAAACGTCGAGATTTTTTTTTGCACGATTACAATACTTTCTCTACAGTGGCGTAGGCAGGAAGGAGGGGTTAGGGTTAGGGTGGTGGGGGGGTGGTGGTTACACCCCCCCCCCCCATGGACCCCTCTGTAAAAAAAATGTTTACAGTCATGATACCGCTGTTACTTATTTAAATCTATTTCTGAATCAGTATATATGTATAATTGTATAAGTATGTTTAGAACAGTCACCTAAAAACTGGCGCTATGTTCACTCTGAGTTGGTTATTCTCCCCTCCCCACCTCAACACCTAAAACGGGACATTAATGTTACACCTAGGTATACGCTGGGTAGGATTATTGACCTAAAGTGACCGGACAGCGGTGAATGAAGTTACCCCCCCCCCCTCCCAACCCACCCCAAACTGATCTGTTGGTACATTTGGGGAACCGCGTAATGAGGTACCAAAGAACCATGCCGCCAGAATCATAGCTTTTGAAAAAGGTAAAACTCTTTAAATATTGTTTTTGCAATTACTTGTAAAAAGAGGTGTGTGTGTGTGTGCAATACAGTGATCCAACCCAAACCTTATCATTATTTAAAAAATGATCTTTAAAGAACACAAAAAACAGTAGCTAATTTAAAAATGTGTGTATTGAACCATGAGATCAATGTTTTAGATTAAATGTAGGATATTATTTAAAATGTTTCACCTATTAAATTTAGTTTCAATGCAACATTGAAAAGCGTGATTTTATACCAACTCTGATTTTAAACAAATAGCATTATGCTTTAAGATTTTAGCATTTATGATGACAATATATTTAATTCTGATTGTAGAAAACATATTTTTTAAAAACGAATAGTGTAAAGCAACTATACTACATACAAAAATAATTATTGATCTGTTTTGACATTTACAATTAAATTTGTAGAAATATACATAGTTACATTAAGAGAGTGATTATTTCCCATAATTCGTTAGTCTTAATATTCTAGGAATCATTATATCAAATAGTTTTTACAAGGATTACAAAACAGATTGTGTTGCGTTCATTATATATATATATATATATATATATATATATATATATATATATATATATATATATATATATTGTTTAGAGTGATAAATTGTTTTGTTTTGTCGGCATACATTTTTTTCTCTTATTTCTTATACTACTTTCAATTTATTATATATATATATATATATATATATATATATATATATATATATATATATATATATATATATATATAATGATGGAAAAATGTGAACCCCCCCCCCCCCCCCATGAGACGATCCTGGCTCAGGGGCGGAACTACAGTGCCGCCAGACCCCGCATTGCGGGGGGCCCAAGACGTTTAGGGGCCCGCAGCCGACCATAATCAATTTTTTTACAGTTAAAAAAAAAACTTCTTGCATTTTTGACTTGATGGATGTTTTGTAAAAAGAATACTGCAGCTGCTGTTTGATTATCTTTATTCTATAGACACCATCTCGAGTCCTCTTTCTCCTACAATCAAACATGCTGTTGTCGGCAAAATTCTTTTGAAAATAAATCCATCGTGTGAAAGATACGCAAACGGTCAAACCACTTCCATGACTTATTTCCCTTTTTAAATAGTCAAATATGTGTGCTCTTCAGCACCTTTTAATAGATTTGCATTAAACAAATTAAAAAGCAATTACTTCTCTTAATTATTATTTTTTTAAAAAATACATAATAAAGAATGAAAAAGCATAAAACAGAAATGTACTTAAAACTAATAATATAAATACAAAAAAAACATAAAATAAACATACGGCGAGAAACCATTACACATACACAGCATTCATGCTTCATATCAGTGTTTCTTCCAGACTTTTTTCTCCGGGGGGGGGGCACTTTAAATTTTCGGGGGGGGGGGGGGGGGCGGACACTGTTCAAAGTATATATTTTATATTTTCCATATAAATTATATAAATTTCATTTCGTTCGGGGGGGGGGGGGGGGGGCGGGCGGTAAGAAACTCTGCTTCATATTATTTCGACTGACGTATTCCTTGGAGGCATTATAGCAAACATAGTACAACGGAGATTTTTTTTAACGGACTAGATCTAATAGCAGTCACACAAATGAAGTGGTGTAACTTGTTTTTACTTTTTAATAAAAACTAGGTATTTTTAATTATTTTTTTTAAAAACTCGAACAAGCCCGAAATGAGTATTCTATGTATATTTTCGTATATATATATATATAATGGGCCCCATATATATATATATATATATATATATATATATATATATATATATATATATATATATATATATATATATATATATATATATATATATGGGGCCCATTAAAATTCTTTGCGGGGTGGCCCTTTTTTTCTAGTTCCGCCACTGTCCTGGCTACGCCATTGATCAATACTAGTTCTAGAGTTGGCTAAAACAAAATGTTGCGCACCTAAAACATTTTTCAAATGATGGTATCTCAATAGTGCAAAAGTGTATGCACATTGAATAAATCGGGCTCTATCCGTTGATGGAAGAATAAAACTACTTTAAAGGCAGATAGGAAAGTTATTGAATTACAATTGGCGTTTATTTTCTCACTTGGTAAGTTCATGAAAAAGGATATTCGAAGCAATTTAAGAGAATATATCATTTTATAAATTCAAACTTATATTAAAAATAATTTCAAATCATGCAAAAAACTAGAGTGTAAATTGACGACAGTAGATCTAAATACCTAGATCTAGATCTCTAGAATAAAATCAAGTAATGCTTGCATCTAAGTTTAGTTAAAATTACAAGAATCAAACATTTACATTTGAAATGCCCATAATAAGCCTACCACTAAGACCGTGCAATAAAACAGCTAAGATATTCAAATCAATAATCAAAACATTGAGACGGTTCCACATGATAGCACATTTAGCTTTATCTAACTGTACCGCAACTGTTCCACATATTTCCCACACATTTGACAGTACGGCCAACCGTACCTAACTGTACCGCACTGGTCCAGTTATTTCCCACACATTTAACAGTACGGCCAACCGTACCTAACTGTACCGCCAGTTATTTCCCACACATTTGACAGTACGGCCAACCGTACCTAACTGTACCGCCAGTTATTTCCCACACATTTGACAGTACGGCTAACCGTACCTAACTGTACCGCACTGGTCCAGATATTTCCCACACATTTGACAGTACGGCCAACCGTACCTAACTGTACCGCCAGTTATTTCCCACACATTTGACAGTACGGCCAACCGTACCTAACTGTACCGCACTGGTCCAGATATTTCCCACACATTTGACAGTACGGCCAACCGTACCTAACTACCGGCACAAGTGTCCGAATGGGGGCGTTCAAAAAATCAATACTTGACCGCTCTGTGTCGGCACGCCAGACCGGAGCTTCACTTTATCCGCATGTCGTTACACACCAGTCATAGATTACACACCAGCCATAGATTACACACAGCCGTAGATTACACACCAGCCATAGATTACACACCAGCCATAGATTACACACCAGCCATAGATTACACACAGCCGTAGATTACACACCAGCCATAGATTACACACCAGCCATAGATTACACACCAGCCATAGATTACACACCAGCCATAGATTACACACCAGCCATGATTACACACCAGCCATGATTACACACAGCCATAGATTACACACCAGCCATAGATTACACACAGCCATGATTACACACAGCCATAGATTACACACCAGCCTTAGATTACACACAGCCATAGATTACACACAGCCATAGATTACACACCAGTCATAGATTACACACAGCCATAGATTACACACAGCCATAGATTACACACCAGCCATAGATTACACACCAGCCATAGATTACACACCAGCCATAGATTACACACAGCCATAGATTACACACAGCCATAGATTACACACAGCCATAGATTACACACCAGTCATAGATTACACACCAGCCATAGATTACACACCAGCCATAGATTACACACCAGCCATGATTACACACCAGCCATGATTACACACAGCCATAGATTACACACCAGCCATAGATTACACACAGCCATAGATTACACACAGCCATAGATTACACACCAGTCATAGATTACACACAGCCATAGATTACACACAGCCATAGATTACACACCAGCCATAGATTACACACCAGCCATAGATTACACACCAGCCATAGATTACACACAGCCATAGATTACACACAGCCATAGATTACACACAGCCATAGATTACACACCAGTCATAGATTACACACCAGCCATAGATTACACACCAGCCATAGATTACACACCAGCCATGATTACACACCAGCCATGATTACACACAGCCATAGATTACACACCAGCCATAGATTACACACAGCCATAGATTACACACAGCCATAGATTACACACCAGTCATAGATTACACACAGCCATAGATTACACACAGCCATAGATTACACACCAGCCATAGATTACACACCAGCCATAGATTACACACCAGCCATAGATTACACACAGCCATAGATTACACACAGCCATAGATTACACACAGCCATAGATTACACACCAGTCATAGATTACACACAGCCATAGATTACACACCAGCCATAGATTACACACCAGCCATAGATTACACATAGCCATAGATTACACACCAGCCATAGATTACACACCAGCCATAGATTACACACCAGCCATGATTACACACCAGCCATAGATTACACACCAGCCATGATTACACACCAGCCATAGATTACACACCAGCCATGATTACACAGTCCCAGTACACACTATACCCCGCTGGCATAGCTTGGCTCATAACATTTTCAGCGTTGCCAAATCGTGACGTCATTGTACGCGTGTGTTGTGTGCTAAAGAGAGCTAGGAGTTGAAGACTTTTTCTCTAGTTTAGTGCCTCGTTGTCCTATTGCTCAGGGTAAGATTTGGTCGAAACTAGTTTTGCCAACTATTCTGTTGAGATCTTTATAGGAACTGCGAAACCTTACCTGACCACTTGTGCTGTAAATCTGTTCCATCTTGTGCTGTAAATCTGTTCCATCTTGTGCTGTAAATCTGTACCATCGTGTGATGTAAATCTGTACCATCTTGTGCTGTAAATCTGTACCATCTTGTGCTGTAAATCTGTACCAATTTGTGCTGTAAATCTGTACCATCTTGTGCTGTAAATCTGTACCATCTTGTGATGTAAATCTGTTCCATCTTGTGTTTTAAATCTGTTCCATCTTGTGCTGTAAATCTGTTCCATCTTGTGCTGTAAATCTGTTCCATCTTGTGCTGTAAATCTGTTTCATCTTGTGTTGTAAATCTGTTCCATCTTGTGCTGTAAATCTTTACCATCTTGTGCTGTAAATCTGTACCATCTTGTGCTGTAAATCTGTTCCATCTTGTGTTGTAAATCTGTACCATCTTGTGCTGTAAATCTGTTCCATCTTGTGCTGTAAATCTGTACCATCTTGTGCTGTAAATCTGTACCATCTTGTGCTGTAAATCTGTTCCATCTTGTGTTGTAAATCTGTACCATCTTGTGCTGTAAATCTGTTCCATCTTGTGCTGTAAATCTTTACCACTATATTCTGTAAATCTGAATTTAGCAGTAAAGCTTTTCCCACTTGTATTGTCAATGTGTTGTAAAGAAACAAGGCTTTGATCTGTAAATGTGTTGCAAAGAAACAAGGCTTTGATCTGTAAATGTTTTCATACTGTGTTCACCATTGAGATGTGCCCAGCTTGTAGAGTAAGGGAGATAATGTGGGCTGTGTGAATGACGACTGGCCGCGGTGCTCTGACCCGTTTCTCGATATATCGATCCAGTGAAACCGATTTCTTTTCAGGTACCACCGTCTTCTTCTAGCTTATGCGCTCTTGAAGGTCTATGTACAATGGATTGTATGTGAGACTTAGACAGGATTCTATGTAAGACGAGGAATGTCTTTATGCTGCTATGGCTTGTGGTAGCGTTACTTAGTGCCCGATTGGCCTACTGCTGATAAGGATCTTCAGTTAGGAAAGGATGAACCATTGGATACGTTGATAAGTGGATAAGTGGATAAGTTTGTGTCGAGTGAGACGTTCCGTGGATCTACGTTTTTGCGTGTTTCGAGGGTTTGAGGCGAGGAAATGAAAGCTTTATTTCGTTGTTGTCAGTGTGGAGATGACACCAGTAGCAATGACAACAACAACAAAGGTCTGAGTTTCTCAGAGTTGGACGAGAAGAAAGTCATCACAACCGACAACCGGAGCGGGCTCAACGTCCGGCAAGTCTTTTCACTCAAACAGTCGTGGAAGGGGGTGATGCGAGATGAAGTAGCTTTTGGCGTGGAGATGTTTGTTAGGTAGGTCACTGCTAGTTTGATGGATTAAGGTTAGGTATAAGCTCACTTGCTTCATGTGTTAAGGTTAGTGTAAGCTATGTATTACCTACATTGAGGGTTTAAGATTAGATTAAGGCTAATTTGCTTTTGTATTATCTTTCTTTATGGGTTAAGGTGTAATGCATTATTCTTTTGCATAAGGGTTAGGGTTTGGGTTAGGGTTAGGGTTTGGGTTTTTTGTTTGGGTTAGGGTTAGGGTTAGGGTTGGGTTAGGGTTGGGTTAGGGTTGGGTTAGGGTTGGGTTAGGGATGGGTTAGGGTTGGGTTAGGGTTGGGTTAGGGTTGGGTTAGGGTTGGGTTAGGGTTGGGTTAGGGTTGGGTTAGGGTTAGGGTTTGAGTTTTTTTTTGGGTTAGGTATGGTAAAACTTTCGACAAGGGTTAGTGTTAGAGTTAGGGTTGGGTTGGGTTAGGGTTGGATTAGGGTTGGATTAGGGTTGGGTTAGGGTTGGGTTAGGGTTGGGTTAGGGTTGGGTTAGGGTTGGGTTAGGGTTAGGTTATTGTTGGGGTTGGGGTTGGGATAGGGTTGGGATAGGGTTGGAACATGTCGAGTTCTTCCACTAATGTATAGCTCAATACAACAAACTTGATAATACCAATGAGGATAATAAATAATAACTCTAACCCTAACCAAAGCCGGTCAAATAATTGAAATAAACACATCTTATACAACTCTGATCTAATGAATTCTTTTATTTCAAACATTCGAATATTAACCTCTGGGGACATTGCTTGTTATATTTGCTAAAGCCCCCACCCCGTTCCTTACGCACACGTTTGTGTCTGATTGCTTTGGGATATGATATTATATGTATTCACCAATTTCTTCAAGTTAGGTTTAAGGTAATTTTTTAGTATACAACTAATCGCGTTGCCGCTATATAGGCCTACCACCACCCTACCACCACCCTACCACCACCCTACCACCACACTACCACAACACAACCACCACACTACCACCACACTACCACAACACAACCACCACACTACCACCACCCTACCACCACACTACCACCACACTATCACCACACTACCACCACCACACTACCACACTACGACACTACCAACACTACCACCACAATACCACCACACTACCCACACTACCACACTACCACCACACTACCACCACACTACGACACTACCAACACTACCACCACAATACCACCACACTACCCACACTATCACCACACTACCACCACAATACCACCACACTACCACCACACCTCAACACTACCACCACAAATACCACCACACTACCCACACTACACCACACTCTACCCACCACAATACCACCACACTACCACCACACCACCACCACACTCCACCACCCACCACCCACCACCACACTCACCCACTACTCACACTACCTCCCTCCTCACCACCCTCCACCACACTCACCACACCGCCACACCACACTACCACCACACTACCTCCCACTACCTTCACACTACCACCACACTACCTCCACACTATCACCACACTACCACCACACCACCACTCTACCACCACACTACCACCACACAACCACCACACCACCACACTACCACCACACTACCACCACACTACCACCACACTATCACCACACCACCACACTACCACCACACTACCACCACACTACCACCACACAACCACTACACTACCACCACACTACCACACTACCACCACACAACCACCACACTACAACCACACTACCACCACACTACCACACTATCACCACACTACCACACTACCACCACACTACCACACTACCACCACACTAACACCACACTACCACACTACAGCCACACCACCACACTACTACACTACTACACTACCACCACTACCACCACAATACCACCACACTACCACCACACTATCACCACACTACCACCACACCACCTCAATACCACCACACCACCACACTACCACCATACCACCACACTACCACCACACCACCACACTACCACCACACTACCACCACACTACCACCACACTACCACCACACCACCTCAATACCACCACACCACCACACTACCACCATACCACCACACTACCACCACACCACCACACTACCACCACACTACCACCACACTACTACCACACTAACCCTAACGCTAAACCTAACCCACCACCCTACCACCACACTAACACCACACTGCCACACCACACTACCACCACACTACCTCCACACTATCACCACACTACCACCACACTACCACCACACCACCACTCTACCACCACACTACCACCACACCACCACACCACACCACAACACTATCACCACATCACCACACTACAACCACACCACCACCCTACCACCACACTACCACCACACCTCCACCACACTACCACCACACTACCACCACACTACCACCACACTACCACCACACTACCACCACACTACCACCACCCTACCACCAAAACACCACACAACCACCACCACACAACCACCACCACACAACCACCACCACACTACCACCACACTATCACCACACTACCAGCACACTACAACCACACTACCATCACACGACCACCACCCTACCACCACACCACCACACTACCACCACACTACCACCACACTACTACCACACTAACCCTAACGCTAAACCTAACCCACCACCCTACCACCACACTAACACCACACTGCCACACCACACTACCACCACACTACCTCCACACTATCACCACACTACCACCACACTACCACCACACCACCACTCTACCACCACACTACCACCACACCACCACACCACACCACAACACTATCACCACATCACCACACTACAACCACACCACCACCCTACCACCACACTACCACCACACCTCCACCACACTACCACCACACTACCACCACACTACCACCACACTTCCACCACACTACCACCACACTACCACCACCCTACCACCACCCTACCACCATTCTACCACCACACTACCACCACACAACTACCACCACCCTACCACCACACCACCACACTACCACCACACTACCACCACACCACACTACCACCACACCACACTACCACCACCACACCACACAACTACCACCACCCTACCATCACAACACCACACTACCACCACACTACCACCACACTACCACCATTCTACCACCACACTACCACCACACTACCACCACACTACCACCACACTACCACCACACTACCACCACACTACCACCACACTACCACCACACTACCACCACACTACCACCACACTACCACCACACTACCACCACACTACCACCACACTTCCACCACACTACCACCACACTACCACCACCCTACCACCACCCTACTACCATTCTACCACCACACCACTACACTACCACCACCCTACCACCACCCTACCACCACCACACCACCACACTACCACCACACTACCACCACACTACCACCACACTTCCACCACACTACCACCACACTACCACCACCCTACCACCACCCTACTACCATTCTACCACTCCACCACCCTACCACCACCCTACTACCATTCTACCACCACACCACTACTACCACCACCCTACCACCACCATACCACCACACACACCACAACAACCCACTACCACCCTACCACCACCCTACTACCATCTACCACCACACCACCTCACTACCATCACCCTACACTACACTACCACCACACAACCACTACACTACCACCACTACCACCCTACACTCCACCACCCTACCACCACACCACCACACTACCACCACACCACACTACCACCACACCACACTACCACCACCACACCACACAACTACCACCACCCTACCATCACAACACCACACTACCACCACACTACCACCACACTACCACCACACTACCACCACACTACCACCACACTACCACCACACTACCACCACACTACCACCACACTACCACCACACTACCACTACACTACCACCACACTACCACCACACTACCACCACACTACCACCACCCTATCACCCTACCACACTGAACACTTTATATTAGTCTATTCCCGGGGCACGATTGAGTATTAAAAACAATATAGACATTCTTTTTGTATGATCATATAATGCATGAAAATGAGTACATTTCTAAAGGATGCTCTTACATTTGAACCCAAAATGTATGGGCGCTATAACACTACAAACGGCCATATATTTCACCAAAGATCCCCCAAAAATCTAATTATAATAATATTGGCATAATTCCCCTTAGAATGCCCTTAAAATGTACATAAAAGCTTTAGAGTAACAATATTGATGGATGTAATTACTGTATCATGCCCTTCGATGGTATTACATGAATACAAGCACAATTACTTTCAATGCCCTTAAAATATTTAAAATGAAGATGGGCATACTTACCGTATGGATGCATTTAAAATGTATTGTAGAGTGAAGTGGGCATATTACTAGATGCTCTTAAAATACATTATAAAGAATAAACGAATAATTAATTTAAAGATGCTTCTACAGTGCATGGGAATAATTTGGTCACAAGTACTCTAAAAGATGCCCCTACACTATACTAAATAAATATCACAGACATTTATTAAGGGAATATCAATGACTACCATAGGACTACCCTTCACTGATGCCCGCCTTTTCTCTATAAGTTTTGCCATACAGACAGTGTAATCTCAAAACGAGTGACAGACGATTGAGTGTCAAATTTGTTTTGGGTGAGATCGGCAAACACATGGAGAGTTTTGATGACACCATGACACAACATATCGCAACTGTTTTTTAATTAAAAGAAAAAAATTCACCTCTTTTGAATGCCCCCTCCTCCCCTCCCCCCCCCCCCCCGTAGTAGATGCTCGGGGACCGCCCCCCCCCCCACTCTCTTTAGTATAACCTTTTTGTAAGTCGGAAAATATGGACTTTGTGGACAAGTTTTGTTTCTAAAATTAGTTTACAGACTTTTTAAAACTCCTGTCTAAAACTGGTGATTTTCTGAAATATTCTTTTCTAAATTCCAGATTTTTTTTCCAGACTGCGAACAAGCTCTGTATAATGT